AGGTCGACTACAGTCCACGCTGGCTCAAACACGGTGGGAGTGCAGCTGTGTCAAGCTCGATCGTTGCTCATCTGGTAGAGACAGGACACTTGGTTCACATGCGCTCGGTATTTGCAATCATTTATCGAGTCTCACCACATCCCTCGAAAGCAATACGGTTTCAGACGTTGGAAACCGCAGAGGCCATTAGCATCCGACTCATGAAGCCCAAGCTGTGCGCACAACGCAAATTGATTCAAGCTCTCCTCTGGCCAGGGGAAGAGAAAATCGCTTGTTCACACGACCATGATGTAACGACTTCAGTTATGTGATCCAAACTGCGCAAAATTTGGAGTTCTCTTGGGCTCATTACCAAACGCATGACTCATCCACCTTTCTGTTTGACGGTATTGAAATTGTTTCTTATGAATATGATTGTAAAGGCTTGGGAAGAAAAATGGAACTTAGGATATCCTCAAAGACCTTGAGCTATTTTCGAACCCGTGGTCATGTTGCTATCGACTAAAATAGTGCGGAAATGAACTGTAACCCAATTCCAAGAAAAGATGAGTCGACATAAATCAATTGCAGTCATCCTTTAAAAAAGAAAACCAACCCGTAAGGATCCAAGATAAAACGAAGAATTTCAACCATAATTAGAACTCTACCGTCATAAGGCGTCGGATAAACTTTCCATCTAATGGATGAATGTGCAAAAGACTGGGTTAATTTTTGTCCTCATGGAAACCCTGAAAGTTTTACGACGGATCAGTTAACGTATAGATCCAGAAACAAGTTTAACTCTCACGCTGTATTCCAACTGGAAAACGAATCGCCTCCTTTTTTCCCATGTGTGGAGTAAGAAGTTCACGATTGAATATCACTTTTCCTATCTGGATGGGGGAGAGCCCAATTCCATGCTAAATTTTGGAAGAAAAACTTCTACATCCATCAATGGGAACGATTGGTCGATTAAGCCAAACTTGAACCCTGAACCGTAAGTACTAAGCCGCTCAACAAGTACAAAATATTTGTCACTGTTTTGTCAAAATTATTCTGGTTCTTCGTGAAAAGGGATGTTCATAGGATTTCCGTGAATTTACAACCCCACGCTTTTCGTAATATATGGATTTTGCAGAAGCCTCATGCATGATAAACAAAATGATAGCTCAAAACATGTTTCATTTAAACAACTTGTGGAATGCATACAGGAAAGCAATTTTTCTGGTTCTTATTTGTTAAAATGTTCCCCTAGGACAGATTCTCCAAAATCCATAAACGCCTTTGTTGCAGGAACATTTTTTAGCTGGTCATCTATTCCTTACTTAAACGTTGTAAACAGGTTCTTTACCGGAGTGTTGATTAACACGGAGGTCAAAACAAAGCCTTGAATAAGTAGGCTTTTCGTGATAATACATC